AGGGTCCTCCACATCCTCCAGAGCCGACTCATAGGGCCCCTCGCTGTCGGAGTCTGGTGGCAGCTCCAACAGCTCCTGCTGGGCCACAACAGGTAGCCATAAGTTAAAAGTGCTTAGGTTGTAATAAGACCCTGCCTTATTTTCGGGGAAACACGGTACCTGTAACCCAGTGGGACAGTATCAAGAGGGGAGGGCAGCATTCCAAAGCCTTAATTTCAGCAGCACCTTCTTAAATTATTTTCACCAAATGCTCATTGGGGAATAGAACCAACTGTGTAAAATTAACCTGCCAAGAAGCTCAACTGGATGGAAGAAGAGTTGGAGAAATGGATTTTGGTACAGTGACTCTAAACCAAGTTGCACTTTGAAACGTCGTTGAAGTTCGTTCGGGGGATATATGCACGCTATTTGCTATCATTAGCTAAAAGGAGGGCAATCTATAGCATGAATGTTTTAACTTCCAACTTGTTCCAAATTGCAGCACCCAAAGTCCACCAGCTGGGAGACAATGTCTGTGAAGTCACCTGGGAGCCTTTACAGCCAATGAAGGGTGATGCCATTGTTTACATATTGCAGCTTGCCACTGGGAGGGAAGCGGATCAGGTAATCCCAGAATGATCTTTTTTTTTTTAAACAGATATTATGGGGAAAAGCCTCCCCACCCCCAATACAGTAACTCTGAATGCATTGTTATAAAGCAGGGGGCATCCAACCGTAGCAACCTTTAAGATCTTGGCCAGCTGGGGAATTCTGGGAGTTGAAGTTCACAAGTCTTCAAATTGCTATGGTTGGACGCCCTTGTTATCAAGGGTCCTCGTTATCGCACGAATTGTCAAGCGCCAGGGAAATCGGGACATACAGGCAGTTCAAATGAGTAGAAAGATTTATTTGCAAGCTTAAGCTCTCGACAGGAATCTGAACTACTAACGGTCAAGGGAAATTTGCAGCAGGTAAGTCAATGGAATTCAAGTGGGTTGGACTTAGATGGGTGGGAAGAGACTCATGACTGATGACACATTCGACCCTCTCTCGAACTCCACCTGGTCAACTCCTCCATGAACCCCTCTTCCCAATCAGACCATCAGGCGGCCTCTCAGAATAACAGTATAATCAGAATTGTGGAAGGGACCTTGGAGGTCCTGCAGTCCAGCCCCTCAAGCAGGAATAGGAATAGGAATAAGTTTATTTATAGGC